TAGAAAGAAAGAGTTTATAGAAAGAAAGAGTTTATAGAAAGAAAGAGTTAAGAGAAAGAGTTTACAGTAAGAGAAAGAGTTTACAGTAAGAGAAAGAGTTTACAGTAAGAGAAAGTTTACAGTCAGAAAGAGTTTACAGAAAGAGAAAGAGTTTACAGTAAGAGAAAGAGTTTACAGTAAGAGAAAGAGTTTACAGTAAGAGAAAGTTTACAGTCAGAAAGAGTTTACAGAAAGAGTTTACAGAAAGAGTTTACAGAAAGAGTTTACAGAAAGAAAGAGTTTACAGTAAGGAGGAGTTTATAGTAAGAGTTTATAGTAAGAAAGAGTTTATAGAAAGAAAGAGTTTATAGAAAGAAAGAGTTTATAGAAAGAAAGAGTTTATAGAAAGAAAGAGTTTATAGTAAGAAAGAGTTTATAGATAGAAAGAGTTTGTAGTAAGAAAGAGTTTGCAGAAAGCGTTTGCAGAAAGAGTTTGCAGAAAGAGTTTACAGTAAGAAAGAGTTTACAGTAAGAGTCTATAGTAAGAGTCTATAGTAAGAAAGAGTCTATAGTAAGAAAGTTTATAGTAAGAGTAAGAGTTTATAGTAACAGTTTATAGAAAGAAAGAGTTTATAGAAAGAAAGAGTTTATAGAAAGAAAGAGTTTATAGAAAGAAAGAGTTTATAGTAAGAAAGAGTTTATAGTAAGAAAGAGTTTATAGTAAGAAAGAGTTTATAGTAAGAAAGAGTTTGTAGTAAGAAAGAGTTTATAGTAAGAAAGAGTTTATAGTAATAAAGTTTATAGTAAGAAAGTTTATAGTAAGAAAGTTTATAGAAAGAGTTTGTAGTAAGAAAGAGTTTACAGAAAGAGTTTATAGTAAGAGTTTATAGTAAGAAAGAGTCTATAGTAAGAGTATATAGTAGGAAAGAGTTTATAGAAAGAAAGAGTTTATAGAAAGAAAGAGTTTATAGAAAGAAAGAGTTTATAGAAAGAAAGAGTTTATAGAAAGAAAGAGTTTATAGAAAGAAAGAGTTTATAGAAAGAAAGAGTTTATAGAAAGAAAGAGTTTATAGAAAGAAAGAGGTAAGAGAAAGAGTTTACAGTAAGAGAAAGAGTTTACAGTAAGAGAAAGAGTTTACAGTAAGAGAAAGTTTACAGTCAGAAAGAGTTTACAGAAAGAGTTTACAGAAAGAGTTTACAGAAAGAGTTTACAGAAAGAAAGAGTTTACAGTAAGGAGGAGTTTATAGTAAGAGTTTATAATTCTCTAAAGTAATCAGACATGGAGGATGGATCCCCAGTGCTGCATGATTAGCCAGGGTGTAGTTACACAGGTAAAGTACACAGATACAGGTAAAGATAATAATAATAACATTATTCACTAAACAGCGCATTGTAGAGAAATAATAAGACAAAAAAAATGCAAAGTTTAGGCCAAAATAATCAAAATAAAACCATTTCTTCTAGAGAGCGGTTTTCTTCCACCTTGACCACTTTTTGGTCTAAAATAAAATTTGCCTTAGCGCCGTCATTTAAACACATAGCAGTGCGGTTATAGCTAAGTACGTTACCATGGTGACCGGAGAGGGTCCCCCGGGTTCTATACCTCCAGCACTAAAACACTCTGCCCGTTACAGCTGGCAAAGCGAAGAGGGCGCGCACGTCGCTGATTGGCCACTCACGCTCGCTGACGTCACGCTTCCAGCGCCGAGAGCTGGTCGCAGGCTTGTGACGTAACCAAGTCATGGCGGAGAGGAAGAGAAGGGCGAAAAGTAGCAGTAGCAGCAGCAGTAGTAGTAGCTCTAGCGGCGGCTCCAGCAGCGGGGACGAGGACAGGGTGCCCAAACGTGACGAAGCTGAGGATGACGAGGCTGAGGGCTGGGTGGGGCCGATGCCCGCTGAGGCCTCCCAGAGCAAGAAGAGGAAAGGTGATTGCTAGCTCTGCGGCTCAGGGTTTAACACACGTATTAATCATAATATAGAGCTGGGAATTATATGGGGCTCATTGTCCCTGTGGGCTGCATTTGTTTCTCTTGATGCTACATCACGAGACTGACTGGAGTGTCATGGGATAAGCAGTCCCCACAGGCTAGCCAGCCACCCCCTGGCCAGAAACCGGCCGGCCACCCCCTGGCCAGGAACCCGGCCGGCCACCCCCTGGCCAGGAACCCGGCCGGCCACCCCCTGGCCAGGAACCCGGCCGGCCACCCCCTGGCCAGGAACCCGGCCGGCCACCCCCTGGCCAGGAACTCGGCCGGCCACCCCCTGGCAAGCTAGCTGAACGTATTCAGTACCTTCAAGTGAGCGGCACGTGTGGCTTCCTATTCTTTGTAATGATATGGTAGAACAAGAAAGACTGTGCCTGAGATCTAGTCTTACTACAGGTATTGTTGGACTACATCTCAGACGGCCAGAGCATCACTTTTTTTTTTTTTTTTTTAACTCTTTAAGCTTTAGCTTAATGAAGCAGTTTTGGTGTATAGAACATGCCCCTGCAGGCTCACTGCTCAATTCTCTGCCGTGCAGGCGTTAAATTACTTTCTATATTTATAAAATATTTTACAAATTACTTTGTTTATATATTTATAATATTTTATGCTGCACATCTCCCTGCATGTGACTTACACAGCCTTCCTAAACACTTCATCTAAGAGTCATCTAACGTTTTCAATTCCTTTATTGCAAATTCTCTTTTGTTTTGAATATCAGATCAGATCCTGCAGTAACCTCCTGTATGTCATTAAAGGGACACTGGCACCCAGACCACTTCAGCTCATTGAAGAGGTCTGGGTGCTGTGTCCCTTTTGCACCTACATTACATTACTTACATTGCAGCACTAAGTCTGCCCACAGTGGCTGTCTACTAGACAACCACTGGGGGCGCTTTCGGAATCGTAACAAACTTTTGGTCAGTTATCTGACGCTGGACGTCCTCAGATTTTCCCCATAGGAAAGCATTGATTGCTCTCGCGGCATTAGTCCCCTGACGGAGCTTCGACCCAGCGCCGAGGGACAGCGGTGCTGGGATAAGGTATGTAAATAAAAGGTTATTAACCCTTTATTTGCCGGGCTGGTGGGGGGCGCAAGGGAGGCAGAGGGATCGGTAGTGCCAGGAATACAGCTTTGTATTCCTGGCACTAGAGTATCCATTTGAAGCTCAGTTTATAGAGCAGGAGATAAAAACTATTAAAGGACCACTATAGTGCCAGGAAAACATACTCGTTTTCCTGGCACTATAGTGCCCTGAGGGTGCCCCCACCCTCAGGGTCCCCCTCCCGTGGCGCTCAAGGGGGAGAAGGGGTTAATCTCTGAAACTGCTATGTTTACAGCAGAAAGGGTTAGTCCTAGATGGACCAGGCACCCAGACCACTTCATTAAGCTGAAGTGGTCTGGGTGCCTATAGTGGTCCTTTAAAGTTGCCATATATACTCGAGTATAAGCCGACCAGAATATAAGCTGAGGCCCCTAATTTTACCACAAAAAACTGGGAAAACTTATTGACTCGAGGATAAGCCTAGGGTGGGACATGCAGCAGCTACTGGTAAATTTCTAAATAAAATTACATTAATTGAATATTTATTTACAGTATGTGTGTATAGAATGAATGCAGAGTGTGTGTTTGTGTGTGTATAGAATGAATGCAGAGTGTGTGTTTGTGTGTGTATAGAATGAATGCAGAGTGTGTGTTTGTGTGTGTATAGAATGAATGCAGAGTGTGTGTTTGTGTGTGTATAGAATGAATGCAGAGTGTGTGTTTGTGTGTGTATAGAATGAATGCAGAGTGTGTGTTTGTGTGTGTATAGAATGAATGCAGAGTGTGTGTTTGTGTGTGTATAGAATGAATGCAGAGTGTGTGTTTGTGTGTGTATAGAATGAATGCAGAGTGTGTGTTTGTGTGTGTATAGAATGAATGCAGTGTGTGTGTGTTTGTGTGTGTATAGAATGAATGCAGTGTGTGTGTGTATAGAATGAATGCAGTGTGTGTGTGTATAGAATGAATGCAGTGTGTGTGTTTGTGTGTGTATAGAATGAATGCAGGGTGTGTGTTTGTGTGAATGCAGTGTGTGTGTAAACTGGGTGAGGGCATTTTAATATTATATTATTTTAATTTTATTTTAATATTTTGCATATTTTTTTTAAATGTTTTTTTGTCCCCCCTCCTGGTCAGGCAACAAGCTTGAGGGAGGGGACAAAAATTGCTCTAAATATTAAAACAATATCTCTAATAATATTGCTTGAATCCCTGGTGGTCAGTGGGGGCTGGCAGTGAGCTGTTACTTACCTTCCTGCAGCTCCTGTCAGCTCCGTTCTGCTTACAGTGTAAGTCTACATACGACACCCAGCGGGTCTCTCGAGACTTACACTGTAGCAAAACGAGCTACAAGGAAGGTAGTAACAGCTAAGCTATCAGGCACAACAAGAACACGCCCAGGGCTATGAGCCCGGTACTGGTCTGTATTATGGCAATGTAAGTTGCCATAATACGAACGATGACCTAGAGGTATAAGCCAAGTAGGGGTTTTTAGCACAAAAATGAGTATATCACGGTACATCTGCATCAGTTACACGTAGCCTAAATGTCAGTAGAAAACTCAGAGACCGATCTATACACAAATGAACAAAGTTGTTTTTCATTGACTAAGTCCGTGACACGGTAAAATATTCAGTGTAAGCAAGGGTTTCACTTCCTTTGTTGGCTTATGATTTAAAAGTCACTGAATTTTTATGTTTAGACCAGAATATCAGAACTGAATTAAAAGCGTACCGGCAGACTTGGAAGAAGTCCGATTTCATTGAATATATCTGGTTGGTGCTACTTTATATATTGCACACTATCCAAATGCAGATGCATGGCTTTGCAATAAATATGGCACCAGATATGCTTTAAATTTAAAATTAGTTTGTTCATGTGCCACATAATATATACAAAATGAAAAAAATTACACTAGTTAAACAAATCGCTTTTCTAACAATCAAGAAGGAGCATAACATGCAAAACACACAGCATACTTTATTTAGTTAGACAATTGCCTACCTGTGTTTTATTTTTTTAATTGCCCAATTTTGTACTTCTGCATTTTATAGCATAAAAATGCTGACGTGAAACAAGTCTTTAATGCTAGATTGGGCAGCCAAAAGTGCATTGATTTTTCCCTTTTTTTTTATTATTTATTTTTAAAGGTTTGTTTTTAATACAAGAATTATAAGCCATGCCTCAAGTCAATTCGGCAATCCAGCAGTTCAAATCAAACATGGATAAATTGCTGATACAATACATTGGTTTTGATGTGAATGAGGGTTATCCACGCTTTTGGTGTTGTGGGGGATCGAGGGGGTATAGGAAGGCTAGACTGAGTGGTCGGGCGGTATTCCCAAGGAGCTTGAGCTGTGTCTCATGAGTACCGATCCAGTCGAACAGTACCTATTGGGGGAGGGACTGCCCTCCAGGAATGGGGTAGTTGATGTCCCTCCCTGATGTGGGTTGCTGCATGAGCGCAAGTGTTGGCTTGGAGGTAAGAGAATAACGATAAGTAGGTAAGAGTAACAGGATGAGAGAAATGGTAAACAAAGAAATGTTTGAAAAGGACTGGTCCCTCCCCCGGGGTGGTGGGGGAAGGTGGAGAGAAGGAAGGAAGCAAGAGAAGAAGAAAAATGGGAGGCGGGGAGAAGGTGGGTTGGATCAAGGAAAGGTGTGGGTTAAGGTTTCTCTTCTGCAGGCACTCAAGGAAGCATAGCGCAGTTATTTCCATTTTATTTTAAAGGTACATTTCAGCTTGATGTCTTTACATTTTTACAGTTTAATTTTGTTTTCTTTCTCCCCCTAGTTCTGGAATTTGAACGAGTGTACTTGGACAATCTCCCAAGTGCATCAATGTATGAGCGTAGCTACATGCACAGAGATGTCATAACTCACATTGTGTGTACAAAGTAAGTCCGTATTCATGTATTTTTTTTTATTTACACAAATGTACTTATTAGAGATGATGAAGTCTCCTGTATTCTAATTTATTGTGGGGAGAAAAATTTATTTCTTCTTTTTGGGCTTAACCCCTTAAGGACACATGACATGTGTGACATGTCATGATTCCCTTTTATTCCAGAAATTTGGTCCTTAAGGGGTTAATCTGGTTGATTTGTACTCTGCAATGGTGAGTATTCTCATTGGTTATTTTGGAGGTATTTGGCTTCTGGCACTCACCTCTATGCTCTCTGCAAGTCCATTTATACTCTGTTGATTAAGTATGTTTGTTTGGAGATATGATATTGTGCCTTATCATCCTCATCTAAACTTTAATGCAGTGAATAATCATAATAAATCTGTGTATAGATATGTAGAGACTCTGTAATTCGCATGGGTGATGTCTATTAACTTATATCATTTGAGAGGAGTCATCTTGTGAGTGACAGTTTCATTCTCTTCAGCAATTGCCTTGCAGGGGTTTATCTGTTGCACTTTACACTGTATTATAATTATGCAGCACTATGGAGAATTGGGAAGGCATCACAACTTCTTCATGTCTTATATTGTTCTTTTCAGGACAGACTTTATAATAACTGCCAGCCATGATGGGCATGTTAAATTCTGGAAGAAAGTGGAAGAAGGAATTGAGTTTGTAAAGCATTTCCGCAGCCATCTAGGTAAGTTTCCGTGGCTGCTCTCTGCTTCTTTGTTTCCCTTTTTAGTAGTGATTTTATATAAAACATCCATGTATTTATTGTATTCCTTACTTCCATAGGGTTATTCACTATATTGAGAACTGTTGGGAATTCAAAGGGAATTTCAAGTTTAAACTCAAAGTAGCCAAGCTGGAAGCATAACTGGCTTAGGGATTTGTTCTGGTTTGTCTATTTTAGCTTTAAATGTATATTGAATTGTCACTTTATTGACTAAACATGCTATATATGCATCAGACCACAAAACAAGCCAAGTCTGGTTTCTGGTCATTGTTCCTTTTGGATCATATTCCACGTTTTGATTAAAACAAAAAATTTGTTTAAAACCACATCAACTGATAGTTATCTGCAGAAATACAGGGTGAAGTCTTGAAACACAATGTCTGTATTTATTTCTATTTCAAGCTGGAAATTCTGAGATAGTTGTGAAATCACTGATTTCTCATTTTTGGTGATCTATGTCTGGCATTTATTTTTGCATGTGATGACCATTACGAATGCAATGAGAGCTTTATCTATGCATTAAGTATTGCAGGCAGTATTCATGTAGAACACGGACAGGATCATTTTCTAAAGTTTAAGGTAAAATAGCCCAACTGGAAAACAATCTTTCAGCTTTGCTTCCCGTTTGGCTACTCTGGCCATACATTTAAACTTAAAATTCACTTTAAATTCTCACTTTAGTAAATCTGTCTATGTTATGGATTCTTTGAGTCATGTTGTAAATTTTAAGTGGGCAAATAATTGAAAAGTGTTAATCGGTCTTGGCACCTAAAATCATCTACAGCAAGCCAGTATGTCTCCCTACTGGGTATTTTTTTTTTTTCTTCTGTCATACAGGTAATATTGGTTTAGGTTTCAGAGGAAGTGAGGCTTCTCCCAAAATACATTTTATTAAAGCACGTCCCCAGTGCAGCTTTGTGTTCATGCTTTTCTTATTGATCAATGTTTTATTTATTTATTTATTTATTTATTTTAATTTGGTGTAATTTTTGTATTATTGTTGCAGGAGTGATTGAAAGCATTGCAGCTAGCACTGAGGGAGCCCTTTTGTGTTCGGTTGGAGATGACCGAGCTATGAAAGTCTTCGATGTTGTGAACTTTGACATGATTAACATGCTGAGACTTGGGTACGTTTTGTATTCTGCATTTTATGTAATCTGATGGTTTCCAAATTGAGGTTCACCTGCAGAGTGGAGTGTAAGCAACTGTTTCCTTGTAAGTAACTCCATTATTGGTATGTTATTGGTAAAATATATATATATATATATATATATATATATATATATGTGTGTATGTATGTATTTCACAACTCTTTCTCAAATACTCTGATTCTATTATGTGAAGGACACAGCTACCTTTATTGTTAATTGCTCAGTCCAGACAAGACTTCATTCTATTACCCAATTTTATGGTACTCATTTTATTGACCTTGGAAGGGTAAAAGGTTGACATTGTGGGCTATAGAACCTGTGAGTTTGACATATTCCACATGGAAATAATTATATTAGAATGTTTGACATTTGGCTATACTTAAAAAGGAAAAAAATATGGAATGGGGAAATCTTATGAAGTACATGCAAAAAACTATTTGAATGGAACTTTTTTTTTTTTTCCCTCTTCACACCTGTAAGTGAACATTAGATGTCTTATATTACATTATTTTAGAACAATCTTTATAATTTACTATTAAAAAAATGCATACTTATCAGCTTGCTTGTTTATTAAAGAAAACTCTACCGTCCTAGAACCCGTAGATGTAGTGACCACTTGGAACACTGGAGACACTATAACAACTTCATCTTATTTAAGTTATTGTGCCATAATTCTGTCCCTTTTGTTCTTATCCACCATTGTGTGGTATTTGGGCTTAAAAGTGCAGCTTCTAGCTATGCCTCCAAGCCCCTGTACAGTATATCTCTTGGTTCTCAGACCAGCTCATACCAGAGTTAGTGATGTGAGCATGCTTGATGAAGTTGCAGGCAGTGCTTCTCTTAGAGGTGCATTAAATGCAGTAATTCTTATATTCATTTGATTGGCCATCACATGGGACTTAGGTCAACAATGCTTCACTGTGAGAAGCATTGGATTGGACCAAAGTCACCACTCTTAATGAAGTCACAGGAAGCAGAAAGGACTGTGAGGGAATTGCTATTGGTGATGGAATAAAAGTAAGTAAAAGTTATTTTGGGTGCAAAGTAGAGCCCTGAAATGTAAATAACTACAAGGACACAGCAGAGTTGGAAGAAGGAGAAAAAAAAGTTTATCAAAGTATGTTATCACCATAGGATAGTGGTGGTCACTCTTCGGCAGTCAGCTATTGCAGATTACACTTTTAATGACACCCAACCAGAGTAATATTCTGTTAACCATCTTATAACATTGCACTATATTTTAATGACTATTTTATTTATTTTTAGCTATCATCCTGGTCAGTCAGAATGGATTTATTGTCCTGGAGATGCAATTTCTGCTGTGGCTTGCTCTGAGAAGAGCACAGGAAAGATTTTTGTGTATGATGGCCGAGGAGACCACAAGCCGTTACATGTGTTTGAAAAGCTTCACTCCTCTCCTCTAACTGCAGTCCGGCTTAACCCAATGTACAAAGTAGTTGTCTCCTCAGATAAATGTGGGATGATTGAATACTGGACTGGTCCTCCAAGAGGATACAAGTTTCCCAACAATGTCAATTGGGAGTTCAAGACTGACACGGATCTTTATGAGTTTGCTAAATGCAAGGCATATCTTGCAAGTATAAGTTTTTCGCCAGATGGCAAAAAGATGGCCACTGTTGGATCTGATCGAAAAGTTCGGATATTCAGGTTTTTGACTGGCAAACTTATGCGGGTGTTTGATGAATCTTTAAGCGTAAGTAATAGTTTGTCCAAATTTATTGCCAATTCTTTTCTCGTGCCCATGTAATTTTTTTTTATTTTTTTTTAACACCTTCATTTGCCACATAGTCACTTTTACTAGTTACCATCCATCTCCTGTAAATGTAGACTTCTTTCTATGAATCTTATAAGAGGGGGAAAATACTTACAAGGGAGTAGAACCTGACTCTGTAGACACACTAGGTTGTGGCTCCTTCAATCTTTTATGTACAAATTAGTTCATATAGTATTTTTGACCAGTGTTGCACAATTTCATAGACAGCAGTTCACTGGTGAAACACTTGAGTACTTCTGGTGATTGAACCAAGGTGCTAAATAGTCTGCTGTCTCTCATCCTTTCTGCGACCTAGCTGGAGGTAATTGATGGGAGACGCTGCTGGTTTGCTTATGATGTTTCTAATCTGAGTCCAGATTAAATAGTCGGTCTTTTTTACCCCTTGGGCTGGTGGTGGTTATTCTGGTCTAGACAGATTAAATGAATGCATTGTGCCAAGCAGAATTCCCTTCACCACATTAGTGCACAATGCACCAAAAAAGCTGCAGTTTATTAAATGAGTTCTAGGGGAGCCCCATTGCCGATATCAGTCTTTTGACTGTATTTTCGTTAGCTTCCTGCAGAGGGTCTACTCTAGGGCTGCAGTTAATGCCAATCGGGCCATACCCCAGAGGCCTACTAAGACAACTTTACAACAGCATGCTGGACTCATAGCATTGGCAGAGACACTGTTCCATATTGCAATTGCATACCTCCTCCCTTAATCTCTTTGCACAGGTGGGAAAGACATCAGACATAGTGTCACCTGAGGGGGGTTAAATCTAGGATCTTTTTAGTAGAAGACACTACCAAGGCCATCCTCAACACATAATATAGAGGCCTGGTGCCCATTGACGTAGCTGGAGATATGAAAATTCCCACTCTAGCACCACGAATGCCAGCAGATCCTAGAGGGTTTGCCTTTCTCTATAAGCCTGCTGGTTTCCATTTGAGAGGATATTGGTTAAGGAGTGGAGTCTCCTGTGAACTGTGATTCCAAATTGGTTGATCTACATTGGTTTACATATAACGTACATTGTTATGTGCATTCTCAGTATACATCTGATAAGCTTGATTTGGGATTTTTTTAGGTGACTGTGTTGACTGTTTATAGTTTTTGGTTTTCTCATAGACCTTCAAATACTATGCTGTTCTATGTCTTCTATGATCTTCCGTACAGTAGGTGTTTCTTACATGAACAGCCACAGTGTTTTAATAAGCCATATCATCATTATACTATGTTTTATTTTTCATCATTGATGCTATCTGGATGGTCTTGCATTAAAGGGATACAGTAGAACCTCTGAACTCCAGAAGACTGTTGGTTACGATTTTGTTAGAGAACTGAATCAACATTTCCCATAAGAATTTAATGTAAATTTGATTAATCTGTTCCAGAACCCCAAAATTACAGCATTTTAACACACATTTTACAGTTTAATAATGCCTTACATGCATAAAAACATCTAGGAAAAAAAATTATAAACACAATGTACAGGAAATGAAAATGTAACTTCACTTTACCTGTAATGATGAGAGTTGATGGCGTAAGTGGAAAGAAGATATATTTTTGCTTGGATGGGGATAGGTAACTGTTCTTCTGGCATTTAAAATGTGTCTAAAGTGTATATAATTGAACATGTTTGTGGCTCGCCCCCTATCCGCCTTTTTTAATGAGACCGTCAGAATTGATGATCTGTGCCAATCACAATGCTTTACTATAGGAAACCGCTGGATTGGCTGAGATAGTCAATTCTGGTGATTTCTGCCAAGGAGGCGTGGCGGAGCCAAGCGCCGACATGGCCTATCAGCATCTCCTCATATTGAATCAGTGTATCTCTATGGGGAAAGTTCAGTGTATGAATGTCAGTGCTGCAAGTCTGAGCAGTGGCAGCTGGAGGTGTCCCTATGCTCCGCCCCGCCTCCTTGGCTGAGTTTATCAAAATCTACAATCTCAGCCAATCCAGTGCTTTCCCATTGGAAAGCATTGGGAGGCTCTTGTGCATGCATGGTAAAATGCTGTGCTGCACTAGTCAGTATCTCCTCATGGAGATGCATTGAATCAATGCATATCTATTGGGAACATTCAGCTTCTTCATGCAGAGCACATTGTGCAGCACTGACCCAGGAAGCACCTCTAGTGGTCGTGTGAGTGACTGCCAACTGAAGGTGTTCCTGGGCAGCAATTTAAACACTGCCTTTTCTCCAAAAATGCAGTGTTTACATGAAAAAAGCCTGCAGGGACTGACTATACTCACCAGAACAACTATAAGCTATAGTTTTTCTGGTGACTATAGTGTCCCTTTTAATATAAAACAAATAAAGAAAATGGAGCTTTCCATTGGGGTGGGGGGAGTTAACACAAGTTATAAGGGATTTTAATGGTGTATTCAGTTGTGTAAATTCCCTAGAAGTGACAGTTAATGTTTAATGCAGCTGTTATAAAAGCGGTTATAGTGCCAGTGATGTACTTGTCTCTTTTAAATATTCACCCATACATGGCCATTGTGTTCATTGAGTGTCTAGTCATCCTTTTATTTAAGAATTCTATACACCGAAAATAAACTGGTAGACTAAAATGGATTGTCTAATAACAACTTTTCCAATCCAACTGGAATCCTTTATGACTTCTTGTCTATCATAAAATTACTTTCAAATTGACTCTGCATGTTACTAGCTACCTATTCCAGGAACAATATGCGTTCCTGTATTTAGTTTGCCTGCTGTTTCCAAATTGTGTTTTGACCTCAATAAAAACATGCTGCATAAACGTGGTTTGCACAAGGGTCTTAGATTTAAACTATTTGGTAACAATTTGCAGAAGTCATCTGTGACTGATCTTAATCTTTCAAGTTTTTGTTTTGTACTAAATGAAGTCTGTAGTTTTTCATCCTGAACAATATAGTAGGGACACAAGGTCAACAGCATGCAGCTGCCCTTTTATCTTGGAGGTGTGGAGGGCCTTTGAAAGTTGCTACAGTGGGAATTTTCTTTTGTATTCTGCAGTCTAGCTTGAGAAGATTGCTCCCTGATTCTTACCAGATGCAGTCTTGTTCTTGGTATGTTTTATTATCATCGTTGCTCCAAAGTAATTCCACCCTTTGTTCCTTTCCACACTAATTTTTAGGTAGTAATGTCTCCGTGGTTAATCTCGATCCCACAAGTGTTGAATAAAGCAATAACCGCTTTATCAGCCCTGCTTGATTGTTTCATTGAGTGTTTTGATTCCGAATTTATCGTGGAGCTAAACAGTCCTGCAGAAAGAGCCCTAAGGTTTCAACTTTCTAATCACTCCAATGGCAATTCTGTTGATGACCCTTTTATTGATAGTCAGCCAATATGTACTTCATGAATGCAGCAGGCACATCTAGTAGTGATATAGATTAGAAAATCTATTTCTTTATAGGGATTAGCAAAGCTGTCACTTCAAGTTTTAGCTGTCCCTTTAGAACACTGTGTTTGCCTCCAATCCTGGACTATTTTTTGACCTTCAGCACTTATTCGGGGTTATTATTAAGGAGACCTTTTGAAATGCAAACTATCTGCGTATTAATTAGTATATTTTGTATCCAATTTTATGAGTAAAGTCACAATCTTGTGGTGGAGTTCTACTATATGTGAACATTGATCATGTAATAAAATCCATAAAAAAATTTCTGTTGTAGATGTTTACTGAGCTGCAGCAGATGAGACAGCAGCTCCCAGACATGGAGTTTGGGCGACGCATGGCTGTGGAACGGGAATTGGAAAAAGTGGATGCAATAAAGCTTATGAATATTATTTTTGACGAGACCGGACACTTTGTATTATATGGCACAATGCTTGGAATCAAAGTCATCAATGTTGAAACCAACAGGTACGCCATATGTACATGATTTGGGCATTAAAGTGCAAGTAGTTTTTGGGGATTCCTGGGCAAAGAAAAGAGGATTTTGTTTTCTTTCTAAAAATTACATTTATTTAATAGTGTAGCTCTAGGAGATAAAACCTTGAAATGAAAATAAATGTTATTTACCCACTTGCTTACATTTTGGCTAACACATAGAAAATATTTTTTTTAAATGCTGCCATCTTGTGACAGATTCCTTTTTAAGCTTTGTCTGGTTCCTTTTTAATAGATGACACACAATTTATTCTATGGACCAATCTTCATTAATGCCTTGTTCCATTGATCACTTCTATTTGCATGTTTATAGTTAAACATCAGACATTTCTGTTTTTGTTGGCACATAAAAGCTGTTGAAAACAAGGCATAAGTATCCATTTCAACTTGCTTCAAATATCTGCTGCTGATTTTGATACGTTAATCCTTTTAGTGTCAATAATATGCTGTACAAGAAGTGTGCAATAAATATATTTTTGTACAACACCCTAATTCGGTAACTTTGTTTGGGGTTCCATTATTTACCTGATTTCATTAAAAATTATGTAGTAATGATTTCTTCAGCTTTTTCACTGAAGCCTTTCTCTAGTTTTAACAGGGGTCCCAGCTGCTAAGAGATCCTGCAAAGTTTGTATAATCAAGTAAAACAATTGTCTGCAAAGCTCACTGTCATCATTATTGAGTTGTGTTTTTTCATCTAACCATTGTCAACTTGGGAGTGTACTCTGCTGCATTCAGAATGGTGTTTAGATTGATCTAGGTCTTGTTAAATTCAGCTTAGTGCTTGACGATCAAAATTAAATTGCAGAGCACAGAGTTAAGTTTACTTGTAAAACAAAAAAAATAAACTTTTGACTGTTTGATTCTAAGAATTGAACACCTTCCAGCAGCTAGTAAGACACACTCCACCAACTTCAAAGTAGAAGGGAGTATCTGTTTTTACTTTTAGAGCAATAAGCATGTTAAAGCTTATTTCTCCTGGCAGCAGTTGAAACCCTTAGGAAGAAAAAGAAAAAATATTAACATTTGCAAAAGATCCGTGTGTTCTTTATGAGGCGAAACAGAGCATCTTGCCAGAGGTCAGATATTAAGAGCATCCTGAGAGTTCCCAGGCAATGTGTAATGTCCATTATTAGGGGATTAGAAGTAGATTAGTCACTATGCTACTGTAGGTTTTATGAAAAAAATCTGACTCAGCAGAGGGTGAGGTTTTGTTTTTTGGCAGCTGTCACTAGAACTGTCCGGATTTGTTTGTCTTACAGGTGTGTTCGTATTCTTGGCAAACAGGAAAACATCAGGGTGATGCAGCTTGCCCTGTTCCAAGGAGTGGCTAAGAAGCATCGTGCCGCTACGACAGTAGAGATGAAAGCATCGGATAATCCTGTACTCATGAGCATCCAGGCTGATCCTACAATTGTATGCACGGCCTTCAAAAAGAATCGTTTTTACATGGTTAGTGCTGTCTGTACCGCATGTTTAATGTCCATAGAAAGTCTATCAAAAACAAGGCATTGGAGGCTTACATAAATAATCAAGGAGCCACCATATCTCACCTTCTTATTCATGTGGTGGGTTGGTCGTCACAGTTACATAATTGTTGAAGAATACATTGAAGAAAGATTAAAAGAACACCCTTCACTGCAGTTTGCCTCTTCTTTTTAATGCATTGAGAAGATAAGGCATTACATAAAATCGTTAAAGCGGCACTGTCGTGCCAAACTTACCTGTATTCTATTGTTTCCTCTCTGAGAATCTGTTCTTCTTTTCTTAATTTTTTATCTAGTTTTCCTTAAAACCTAAGCTAAAGTATGGGCTACTTTCTTATGTATTTTTTTTATTTTCTACGTTTGACATTTTGACCAAAGGAGGCGCTTAAGTCAGCTCCTTTTCCTGTGTTAGAGAAAATACTTACCCTTCTCCTTGAAGGGTAAGTAATGGAGCTGACGTAAGCTCCTCATTTGGTCAAAGAAAGCCAAGCGAAGGAAAAATACATACAAAGTAATCCCTACTTTTATCTTATGTTTTAAAGAAAACTAGATCAGATATAAAGAAGAGAAGAACAGATTCTGAGATGAGAAGAGAAGCGGAAACAATAGAACAAAGGTACGGCATGACAGTACCGCTTTAACATTTCAGTGTTGCTCTTTTTAATGCATATTCCATGCATATTTAGTTATGACAGATGACCGTTAACAATCCATCCGGTGGTGTGCAAAGTGTCAAGCTGCATTCTCTATATGTTAGAGATACGCATGTGTGAGTGATTCACTTACTTGCATGATTGCTTTTCATTGATTTCTCATGAATGAATTTGTTTTGGGGTTTTTGTTTTGTATTAAAATATGCATTTTATAGTTTGAAGGATTTTGTTTGATGTAAAAAAAATTAAAGAAAATTGGGGGTTTTTTTTTTTTGTGAAGGACAGGAGATATCTGAAGTATTATCCTACAATTACTACTTATTGAACTTAACAACATCTTTCACATGGTTCCACTTTTAAAGAAAGAAAAAATGCATTGACGTTTGACCCCATATCAAATGTAGTTAGCAAAACATCATGGCAATTGTAATTTTGTGGGGGTTCTAAATATGGACGCTCTCTGCATTGAGCCAAGGCTGATGGTGCATGGCTTAGCTCATTTGCTGAAAGTGATCAACTAATATATTCTCAGTAAGTAAGCTGGCACTACATGCTAGGGTTTAGCTCAGACCTGCTAATGAAAGCTCTGTGCAAAAGAATCCGGTTCTCAGTCGAGGTTGGGGACCAGTGCATATACATTCCCAAACTGTTAGCAAATGGTTTGACTACTTACATTTGGGTGGTACCAGGTCACTTCTGGAACCATATTTATGACAACACTCTTGCCCTTGGAGTGATGCTTTAAATGACTGACTGTCTTGTTATGTGCTATTTATCTGATCGCGGAATGTAACTTCTAGTTTACCAAACGAGAACCAGAAGACACAAAAAGTGCAGAATCTGATCGAGATGTATTCAATGAAAAACCATCCAAGGAAGAAGTAATGGCTGCCACACAAGCAGATGGACCTAAACGCGTCTCTGATAGCGCTATTATCCACACATCCATGGGAGACATTCATGTCAAGCTATTTCCTGTGGAGTAAGTATTTCTAAACCATTCTGTTCCTGGTGAAGTGAGCAATAGCTGCAAATTCAGAAGTGAGCTTTGTTGAATACAACAGCTAATAAGTTGCTTGCATACACCCATCTATATAAAACTTAGGAAACGTTTTCCTTAACACTTTCTGCTAACTTGTAAACCCTACAGTTTTATAAAAATACCATATAAGTATGGTCAGTTTATATAACTAACTGCGTAAATCCTACATGTGATACAAAAATGTAATTAAAAAAAAAAATGCAAATATAGGATGAATTAAGAAAGGAAAAAAAATAAAACCTACTGCACGTGGCATGTAAACCGCAATTTTTTTAAATAATAAAATGCATAACATTGTGTACATTTCATAGTACTTGTCTTGAAATGTTTTCTGCTTTCTAGAGTAGTGGTTCTCCTTAAGTTACACCAATGATTGATGTTTTGTTGGTATTGTCACTGAAGTAAAATTAGGAAATATCAGAATCATGGATGGCTTGGTGAATCCTGAAGACTGGGTTAGGCAATTATGATTACGTGTTCACAGTGCCTAGATTTTCACTGTCCCTAATGAGAGCACATGTCTGCAAACTCCTAGTGCGTAGCCTCTGATGATTTAAGTAAAGTTTGAACCAAACTAGCATCTTATGCATGTGTATGACAAATAAGTCATAGGCAAGATAAAGTTTACCGTACAATATGTGTTTCATTGTCTAGATGGTAATATATTGGTTATCTAATGCAGGTGTCCCAAGACAGTGGAGAATTTCTGTGTCCACAGCCGCAATGGTTATTACAATAGCCATGTCTTTCACCGCATCATTAAGGTAAGAAAGGATATATTGGATTTGTAAATTCCATTATCCATTTAAATGGTTATTGGTAATTTGGTGCAGTAGCTCTTTGCTAAACTATTTTCATGCAGTTAAAAGAATATCAGTTCTCTCCTGGCACTCAAACCTGGCTTTCTGGAATAAGAAATACCAATTTTGTATTACCTGTACAAAACGTTCCAAACTTGAATAGGGAAATGCTGGCCAAGCTCAACTGTAGTGTTTGTTTTCATTTCTTGCCATCCAGTTTTGTATGGATAGCCAGAATTGTAATTTTGGCTCAGGAGGTAGAATTTTGATGTGGGGAGAGCCTGCATTTTCTTGGATGATCGTACAGTTTCATAGATAACAGATACTGCACTCAAAGACCTCTACGTTAAATGCATTAAATGTGCCGTGTGTTCTATATACCCGGCCTCAGCTTTCCAAAGAAGAAACTGCAATAAGATAAATTACTGCATTTGGATTAAGCATAAAGTGTAACTTGTGTGTGTTTTGTTTTTTCCTGCATTAGAAATTGCAATGTTTGTCACAGTTATTGCTGTAGTTTAGCAGTTTTCCACTTCCTTGATACCTGAAAGTTTTTCTGTCCTTGCCAAGAAATGTAGAGCAGGTTTGTCAAACTTTGGCTAACAGGATATCCTTAAACTTCACGTTTCATAATTCTGGCAGCTTGGAGAGGATAATGGGAGTTAAAGCTTTGACAGGACTGTCAAAATAACAGCTCCCAAAATGTTTGATTAAAATTCCCACAGTATTTCAATTTTTAACAGAATTTTTATTTCCCCCCCCCCCACTGTTTTCCCCATCCACATCTTTACCTAATGCATGGTTTCTGATACTAAGATGTTTAACACCTCTATGTGAAGACTGTATACTCTTGTTTGTTTCCACAGGGTTTCATGATTCAAACTGGTGATCCAACCGGAACTGGAATGGGTGGAGAAAGTATATGGGGAGGTGAATTTGAAGACGAGTTCCATTCGACATTGCGACATGACCGACCCTACACCCTAAGCATGGCCAATGCTGGGGCAAACACCAATGGCTCTCAATTCTTTTTAACAGTTGTGCCAACAGTAAGCAACCTATTAACTATGTCAAAATGTAACATTTTGTCTTTTAGAACCCACCAGTGGTAAAACCTTTGCTTTGTTTAGAACATTTAAAATTGTCTTACTCCTTCTGTTGGTTAAAGGAACACTACAGCATGAGGAACACAAACCTGTGTCCTTAAAGGGACACTATAAGGACCCAGAACACTTTTTTACAGTGTTTTAGATTGCAAGGTTAAAACTACAGATTGATTGCACCCAGACCACTTCATTAAAATGATGTGGTCTGGATGTATTTAGTTGTCCTTTTAAAGGACCACTATAGTGCCCTGAGGGTGCCGCCCCCTCCCGCCGGGCTCTAGTGGTGGAAGGGGTTAAATTAACTTTTTTTTTCTTCAGCGCCGGGCAGGGGACTCTCTGCCTCCTCCTCTTCCTCCTCATCGTCTGAATGCGCATGCGCAGCCAGCCAGTCCATAGGAAAGCATTCTCAATGCTTTCCTATGGACGCTGGCGTCTTCTCACTGTGAAAATCACCGTGAGAAGCACGGAAGCGCCTCTAGCGGCTGTCAATGAGACAGCCAATAGAGGCTGGATTAACCCTATTGTAAACATAGAAGTTTCTCTGAAACTGCTATGTTTTTATAGAAGAAAGGGTTGATCCTAGCTGGACCAGGCACCCAGACCACTTCATTAAGCTGAAGTGGTCTGGCTGGTCCTTTAACCCCTTAAGGACACCTGACATGTCATGATTCTCTTTTATTCCAGAAGTTTGGTCCTTAAGGGGTTAAGCAATTTTCTGCACAATTCTAACCTATTATTGGCCTGTTATTAAGATCTGCTTTGTATACCATTAAACCATAGTGTAGTTTTTCTCTCTTATACATTGATTGTTGTAGCTAATCACAGAGCAGCAGGAAATGTGACACAAGCTACAGCAATATCCGCTCCATGTGAGAGCCAATGTAAGTGTATATTAAACTGGTAAACACCTTACTTGTAGCAGCTTGGAGGATGAACGTCATAGGAGAAGGTGGAGATGACTATATTGTAGTACAGGTTTTGGCAACTGCACTCCAGATGTTGTGTACCGTAATGCTGGCAAAGCATCAGGAGAAATGTGGTCCACAGCATCTGGAGTGCCAATGGTTGTCTACCTACTGATGTAGTTTAAAGCTGTAAGTAATGCATACTAACAGAAGTCAGGAAGATTTTACCAGGCAACACTCGGTATATAATGCTTTTAGTACAGTGTCCTTTTATAATATTAAAAGATAAAATGTACTTATGGTTTCACGTTGGTGATAGTGCCAGTGGGCAGCATTGAAAAATAAAGGTTTAATGGGTTTTGCACTTGGTAGAGAGTGCAGAGCCTTTCAATTAATCCAAGTTACACATGATGTGACAGGCGAAGAAGCCTGCTGGTCTGCAGGAGCCTCCTAATGAACATTAGAACGTAATACTGTGCTTTTTGAACGTTACTACTGACATGACTTTTCGAGTATGCAACTAAGAGAAAGGAAAAAAAGACTTCCTTTAAACTTGCTACATGAATTTGAATACAGTCATTTTTGTTATATGTAATGTCCTGATAATTCAGATTAATTGTTTTGGTAATGGTGGTAATGCTTTTCTCATGGAGTTTAAATTAGTAAGTATTCAGTGTGAGTGATGAACATGCTGATTTTCTTTCATTATTTACATTAGACCTGATCTGTTATTTATTTCCAAAAACCAATGTCCCTACAGTGAAAATTAATATATTTTATTTTTCTCTCCGTACTGTCCAAGGCCACCAAGTGCTTCTAGTCTAGTTCTAATAGTACTTTTAAAACCGTAAGCATTAAAAGCCACTCTGATTAACCCCTTAAGGACCAAACTTCAGGAATAAAAGGGAATCATGACATGTCACACATGTCATGTGTCCTTAAGGGGTTAAAGTAAAACTACTTTGCTAAGGGTGTTATTTGTTTACTTATGGTTTGCTGTACATGAAAAATTTATTCTTGCCTCCGCAAACTGACAGGATCAAACTTAAAAAAATGTTAATACATTCCATGTTTTTGTCAGAGAATTGATTAGATAACCTCCTGCCTTGTTAATGGCTGCTTTCCAGTAAGGGATTACATGGCTATAGACCCCCTGTAGTCAGACTGAGCCCTGACATACATCTGTTTATACAGATCGTAAGGTATTTGCAGCACTGTAGGATTTATATAGCTGGTGTTACATATATTAGTAGTACTGGTGCTAAGTACTACTAAACGGAAACAATTGCTGTAGAAAGAAAGAAAGGGGGAACATTTTTCAAATGTTACTTTTGCATATTTACCTCAGTATTTCTTTTAAAGAATAAAAGGAGGTTGTGTTTGGTTTTTAATTGTTACAAACCACAAGAATGTGTTTGGAGCTGTTAACATGAGAATTCTAAGATCATCTGTATTGATAATCTAATTCCAAGAACACCATTATCCAAAACAGACAGTGTTATTTAGATCTATATGAAACCTAATATCGAACTTTCTTAGTTAAGACCGTTTTTAATCATTAGTACAGTTATCCTATTGTTAACTGAATATTTGGTTACTGGTGTTGCATCCATAGTTTGAACAGTTAAGTGCTATCCTGGAATGAATGAGTTTAGTAGGATGTGAGCTGCTGTATGAGAGGAGGAGCAGAGCGATGCAGTCTACCTATACATAGTGCAGGATTGTCCACTAGTTGATACAGTCTGGTGATACGCAATGCAAGAGTAGCCACATGTTTACATAGCCTGCTGTTATACAGCATGGTAAATTCTACACATCAGTGCAGCCTATGTAAAGTTATCCAATTGTACAGCGCTGTGGAATATGTTGGCACTTTATCACCAGTAATAATAATCTCCGAGACTAGCACCAGGTGGGAATCTTATAAGCATGGTATTTGCGTTATGGCCCTTGGTAATCTTTCTAATGTCAGGAAAGTGGGATTGATAGGGTGCAGATGTTGGGACAGAAATGGCCATTACAAAATAACACTAGGCTGGAGAAATTTGCCAGTTTGGCTGTTACCACATCATAACTCTTTCCCTGCAAAGGATAACATCAAGGTTGTGTAAAAAAAAACCAAAAAAAAAAACTTGTTTTTGACTTGGCCCCTTCTGAAATCAAAATGAATTTTTAAAGACCACACAGTAGGCCACTTTCTTTTTACTTACTTGGTCTTCTTAGAAACAGAACTCACATGTGCATGTAAATCAGCAATTTCAGTGCCCACATTGCTTTAACTCAAAGAATAATCTTATCTCCAGAATGTTACTGTAATGCTCATTCCTCCCTTGGTGGTGAAGGTAATGTGGTGTCTGAAAGCTAAAACATTTTCCCTTTTGACAGGCAAGTGTCTGGGTGTACTTTAATGACGCAAGCTCTCTCATGGGATTATGTAACTGTCTGCTTCTTTTTCCTTCACAGCCTTGGCTTGACAACAAACACACTGTATTTGGGCGAGTTACTAAAGGAATGGAAGTGGTCCAAAGAATCTCAAACATCAAGGTTAACCCGAAGACGGATAAGCCTTATGAAGACATCACGATAATTAGTATAACTGTTAAATAAGTTTGTGTTTAATTATATGAAGTATGTACATAATTATTATTTTTTTCTTTTTCTACTGCTCTTGGGAATGAATGGAAATATTGGTCTTGAAATCGTGAAAAAAAAATGTCCTTAATAAATTTTAAATGTGACTTTTTTTTTTTTTTTTTTGTCAAAACATTGGCAAGGTTTTTTTTGTTTTTTTAATTTTTTTTAATTGTGATCTGGAATTCGACATGGCTAAGTGATCGCTTGCTACTTTGCGATAGAAAGAGCTGTCAACTGCTCTAGGAAAATAAGCTGCCAATCCGTTGCAGATGATCCTTGTCACTTCCTCCCAGCATCTGACATCAGAGGAGGCCCGGTCACGCTGTTATCGGGCCCACTCTGATGATATTCATTTCTATCGGGTGGCCCGAACAGCATGCTCCACCCAATGGACCTGTTCACGTGCAGCCCCAGCAATTATACCACGCGGCGGGCACCCTGGAGTCATGGGCCTGGTCGCAGCTGCGATTGTGGTATTTACGCCACTTGGCTAGGTAATCATTGTCCAGAGACCCTTATTTAGTGTTTAATCACTTGAAAAAATTTGATAGTGATACAATGGTTATAGTTCCTACAGTGTCCCTTTTACAAATGGCAACAACTAAATAATTTATTTATTCTTTATTTTGCTTACATGAAAGTGTGTGAATTGTTGAGGATTCAAAATGAATAGAACATTTTAACCCAAAACAGCCTAACTCAAAAATACCTGATTTGGAGAACATTTTCATTTTTACCTAAAATTTGAAATTCACTTTGAATTTGTGACAATTTGCAATTTAATGAATAACCCTGCCAGAGTCAGTCTGCACCAAAAAGAAACACTCTAAAATTAGAAATACATTTTATTTTTTAACATTGCAGTATTCTATTAAAGGACATTTTAAAGTTTCACTTTGGGTTTTTTTTTATAAACATTTTGATATGTATTTTATTTATTTTTTACCACTCAAGGACACATGACATGTATTCCAGAAGTTTGGTCCTTAAGGGGTTAAACTTTATCTGGCTAAGCATATTTTGTTGCTGCTGGTTCACACCAATCACAACATTGCTGTCTGTGTCTGTCTGCAGCCCCTTCTCACTCATTTGTGTTAAATGTTATATTTGTTTGGTCCCAGTCTGTTCACTTGTACCTTCGACAGACTGGGAACACTGTGTGCAGGCAGGCAGGCTCGGAGAAGTGCTCTAAGGGAGGCATTGTAATCCAAGCACTAACACTGTCAGATCCGTTATGGGTTCTCTAACTGCTCCTGTCAGTGAAAACTAAGGTTTCCCAGCAGAACATTGCCTTCGGTGGCCTGCCTTCTTCATAAGTGCATCCTGCTGTCATCTCTTCCCCAGGTAAACACACAGGCAGCCGGCCATTAACCTGATCTAACAGAAAACATGATTCATCAAACCAGGCAATCTTGCATTGCTCCATTATCCAGTTCTGATTCTTTCGGCAGTGTACAGGAGCATTATGGGCACTCCGACTGGTCTACAGCTATGTAGCAAACTGCATTGCACTGTGTGTTTTGACACCTTTCAGTCATGGCAAGCATGTTTTTCAGCAATTTGAGCATAGAGTAGCGTTTCTGTGTGATCAGACCAAGTAGGGTAGCCTTTACTCCCCACATGCATGAATGAGCCTTTCATACCCATGACCCCGGCACCAGTTGTCCTTCCTTGCACCACTTTTGATAGGTATTAACCACTGCATACCGGGATCACCAACACAAGCCATTTTGGAGATGCACTGACCCAGGTATCTAGCCTTCACTATTTTTCTTTATTTGACAGTCTCTCAGATCTTTCACTTGCCCATTTTCCCTTCTTTCAACACACAAAATAGTGGACTTTGTATCCTGATCCTGGAAAGACAGACACCTTCTAGTCAAGGCAGTGGGATTGTGCCCTAGTTGGCAATAGCTTTATATGTGCGAAAAAGCACAGCAACAGTGAAGGAGAAAGGAAAACCTCCTTCACTGGAGTGGAGTAGGTTGTAGGGGATTAGGGCATAACCCAAGAAAATTAATATAAAAGAGACTGAAAAGGGATTTCCAAATGGTCCTCCCAAATATCAGTCCCTTAAAGGAGGCTGTTCCACTAGTAAGGCGACAAATTGCCAGTATTAGAACATAACATAATAAATTTTTATTGATCCCTCTTGAGGAAAAAAATTAGCAAATAATAAGTGTATATGCAATAAGGTATATATTAAAAAAAATCTACTGTTCTATTAATTAGACGATATATACATCACACCAAGTAGCTCCTACTTTTAGCAACTGAGATTTTAGTATAAACTGTTGCTAGTAATTCATTTGAAGTCATGTCGCTTCAGTAGGTTTAACTTTGACTTCCTCAGATTCACACAGTTATATTGGCCACTGAGACACTGTTGCAAATGAATTACTAACAGTTTAAAATCTCAGATGCTACAAGTAGGAGCTGCTTGGTGTGATGTATAGATTGTCTAATACAACAGTAAACGTTTTTTTTTTTTTTATATACACTTATTTGCTAGTTTTTTTCCTCAAGAGGGATCAATAAAAATGTATTTTCTATAAGTTTTTCTTATGTTCTAATACTGGCAATTTGTCGCCTTATACTAGTGGAACAGCCTCCTTTAAGGGTATAGGGACTGATATTTGGGAGGACCATTTGGAAATCCCTTTTCAGTCCTTTTTTAGCTTTATATGTGCCTTTGTGTATAAAAGTACTATAATACAAGAATACCTTTATCTTTAAGAATCGTACTCTATTGGAAGTGGTAACTATACACATTTTTTAACATTGGTGCTGTGGCGCCCTCTATTGCATGAAAGATTCAATGTGCCAAGGTTTTGTACAATTTTACATGGACAGAAAAGGCGATGCGGCTTGGACAAAATCTATTCTTCAGGATTCTCAGCTCCGTTTTGAATCTAAGGTTTATTAGCTTCCTTAGAGGTGATGTCAGAATATTTATAGAGCACCAACCTGGACCTATCTGGTTTAATGGCTGGAATTTCACAACAGACAAGCTGCTCTCTCACACGCTATCAGCACACAGTGAAACCCCTAACAAGATAGGGGGGGCATATTTGACTCATAGCTTACTTTAACAATTGTGTGAGCAAGGACTCTACCAACTTATTCTTAAATTAACATTGTCAATGAAGTACAAACATGTAAACTTACTGCAGGGTATAACATTTGAACTATGCTTCAATGGCAAGTAGAAATTTAAAGCATTGTTACTATAGGTCTGCTTAGCTTCCTAAAGTCCATATCAGACATAATAGTATCCTAGCAGATTCTATACATAAAGTGACAAACCACACCATGGCCAAGTATGCAGGCTTAAAGTGCAGAATTCTGCAAACCACATGACAGGATGTGTACCAACACAACTGACTTTAAAAGTATTATAGTGTGCCATATGGCCCCTGGCGCCATCCACGGCTATGTGTTTACACTATTTCAAAAATTTACACAAACCTAGAGTCAAGCGGGCTTCCACAGCCAGCTCCTCTTAGTCCATATTGATAATGCATAAGTTCCAATAATTATGTCTTCGTTTGGACGGTATTCATTGGCTGGGCATGTCAGCTAACTATCGTAGCCAATGAATACTGTCTAAATACAGACAATAGATATTAGACTTGTGCACAGTAAAACTTGATTAGTACGAAAAGTTACATTTAATTTCATCCAAGTCTTATGCCCCGATTAGTTTTTAATTTGTTCCTTATTTTAGTATTGTAATTTACATTCACACAAATGGAATGCAGCAATACTGCAGTGGTTTAGAAATAAATATGTCCCCAATTTGGTACCCTGATATGGGATGTGTGTTAATCCTCCATAAGGATGCAAAATTAGGGAGCAATTTATTAAGCATCTGTGAGAAAACACCAGAAGAATGCTGGCACCATAACCGCTTCAAATAATATTTCCATGCGGAGTATTGAGTGACAGGGGTAACAGGAGAACCTTTCTGCATGCAGTGCTGGAATATTCCTCTTTTGGACAGACATCACTGAAGGCTTTATTACCATCACTAAGGACAATTGAGTTAGCCTGATGTATATTTGACCATATGAAACAAACTCATTATTTAGGAAATAATTTCTGAGATTGTGAATTCACAGGTTTTCACTTTGTCATGAGTCAGGTACACAAAGATCACCACAGCATATAGACAAGAAGTTTATTTTTAGTTTGCAATGGGAAGCAGGAAATGGTTAAATAATTACCTAGTGTTTTAATTTTTTTTTCTATTTTCTCTTATATTTTGAAGAAGAAAAAAAAAGTTAAAAGACCTCACAGTTATGTGTTTAAACCAGGTGTGGGTAGGTCATGCTACCTGTTGTTGTACTACATGAATGCTAGTCCAGACTGTAGGCAATAATCATAGCAGTTGTAGAACAGCAACATAAGGAGAATTTGTCCCACCTGATTGAAAACAAAGAACTGTATATAGTCACACCGTACAGTACCAAGCTAGAATAGCTTCACAGTTCATGCGACCATAGTAAGGCAAGAGCACTCAAACCCAAACTGAATCAGTAGTGAAGTGCTTGATTAAGGCTTCATCAGAAACCCCATTCTCATAGAAAATAAATACAAATTAACAGGTCTCAAGAATTTAAAATAACTTCTCTTCCCCTAATTTTAGTGTTTTCATTTACGCAGGACGGAGAGAGAAATCTGCCAGCTGGACGTGTTCGAGAAAAAAAAAAAAAAAGTGGAACTGTCATTTGTAAAAACTTACCGACTTCTAAGGCTGAAACCATGTTACAAAAGTAATATATCCCCATTCTCAAAACCCCATAGCTGTACCATAGACAGTTTATTTATATACTCCCCCAGCTATATATGCAGATAAACAAAAAAATCTGCCATGCATATTGACACCTTAATGGCAGATAGCTTTCAAGTACTGTCAATTATCACCAACTAAATTATTCACGCCTGTTCTGTTACTTTCTAAGTGACCCCTGGCTTGTAACACATAAAATTGGATGGGTTTAGGGACTCCTTTTCAGCCTAGCTAAAGGGAGAGCTGGGTAGTTAGCATTATATAAAAAAAATTTGTATGCTAGTGTTGGCAATGGTCAAACTCATTTGTAATGTTTATTATTGTTAAGTTTATTGCTTGTGCGTTAAACTACTGAGCTACTGTATTCCACTATTTCTTGGTTTATGTTTTGCCAAGAGGACTTTATTATAGGGAATTCTTCTACAGCTAACTTTCCTGGTTAGAACTTCCAAAATCCCATTCTGACATTTAATGTTTGCTACTATGTACACATATAAATGCCAGTAGTAATAATTATTTCACTATGTTAGTTTCAGCAAAGCTTATTGATTTTTGAACTTTGGAAGTGAAAACATTTAAAAACGTTTAACAAAGAGTTTGCTCTACACTACCCAAATACAAGTCAGGATATTACATCATCCCCATGCTAAGCTTGCAGTGTGGGCGCTTTGCATCTCTGTACTATACCTGTCTGTCAGCTATTCACTTCCCTGTTACGGTGATCTTTATAAAGTATTCACAAATGTGGCTTGACTACAACAACAACAGTGCAGTGTATTATCTGAACACAAACAAAGGAAACCTATTAGAGCAGACTGGTCATTCAACCAGAATTCACATGCAACAGCCTAATGCGGTGTTGCTAACCTTTGGCCTACAGCTGTTGCAAAATACGTTTCCTATGAAGGTAAGCCAGCCACACTTACGATTAAATTTCATGAGATACGTATTCCATAACAACTGCTGTGACATAAATTGATCATTGATCTAGTGGAAGGACAGACAACATGTGTTTCTTACAAAAAAAAAAAAGTAATCAAGGCTCCTAACTACAAATAAAATGTGGTCCGATTGCCCCTCCCCAATCACCTGCATGCACTCCACACAATTTGTGCAAATTATTTCACATATTCACGAAAAGTGCAGCACTTGTGCTATAAAATAAACAAACATACTTATTCTCCCTAACTTCCTTTAAGAGGAGTATGTAATATGAAATAAATTAAGAAAAACTAAGAGCAGAAATCCACTCCTATTGACCAGAGTCGCCACTTCCGTGTCTGGGTATATAGGTGTAGAAGGAAAGGGTGTAGCCTCTACTGTTACATTTGTCCATGGTTACATTTGATTGAAATGTTACAGCCAAGTGTGAGGTTGTGCTACATTTGGCTAAAAAACTATTGTATAAAATTTAGTTAGATGCACACTATAGGCACCAAGACCACTTTAACTCATTGACGTGGTCTGGGTGCAGTGTCCCAGGTGACAACCCTTTAAAGCTAATTATTGCAGTTTTTAATAAACTGCAATAATTACCTTTGAGGGTTTACTACACCTCTAGTGAATGTCTACCAGACAGCCACTAGAGGGACTTCCATGTCATTAGGTGACATTCAGGCTGTGCATGACTTTTGCTGAGTGAGGAATGGAGGAGGAGCCTGAACCAGCGTCAAGGGACATTGGCGCTGGACTCAGGTAAGTAACAGAAGGGGTTTTTAATAGAGGGGGCACTATAGGGCCAGAAAAACAACTTTGTTTTACAGGCACTATAGTTTCCCTTTAAATAAGTTCTATGACTATGGGAGGTGCCAAACAAGTTAAGAGAACTAATTAGACTTGTAAAAGGAGATATAAATACAGTAGAGATTGAGTCAGATGTAGTTGGAAGTAGCCACGTTGTTATACCATTCTGCACATTCTTGGTCACTTTTTCTTTTTGAACTCATTTACCAGAAATGTATTCCAGTGGGGGCTACTCCTTTCCCCCTACATCTCTAAACCCAGAGCCAGACTTGGTGGCTCTGGTTTAAGTGAGTGGATTTCTGCAGGGGTTTATTCACTAAGGGGTGCATTGAACGGAGATATTACAGATGCATCTTATTTAAAGTATCTTCTATGATATATTGGAAAATAAATAAATTGTATATTTGTTTTATTGCATGAGCGGAGCACTTGCTCTGTAGATCACTAGGTAGCCCTGACCTTAGCCTTGGGCATATCTCCTGCTATGGGCTGACTCTAGATCACAGCAGCCATTCTCTACCACCATATTTTACCAATTAAAATACCATATATTTTAGCATTAAATAACCGCCAAACACTTGCCAGGGAAAAGGTGGCACTTTAGGAATCAAACAGATTTGTACAATATGCACCACAAGCAACTTATTTTGAGTTTGAAGGTTGGTTGATTAATCCATTTGACTGCCCAGAAAAAAATCAGTGCAGAGAAACTCAAAGAGAATTTAAAATGTTATGCCAAAATAGCTAAACAGGAAACACAGCTGACTTTGAGAATTTTTTCCAATTTAGCTAAAATGACCAAAAAAATCTAAATCCCTTAGAATTCCTAAAAATTCAGTTTAATGAAGAACGTTGTGTGTATTTGAAACATGATGTCTCATGATTAAGACGGACGTTGAATTAGAATTAGATTTGCGACAAACATGACTAAATGAAATGAATACTGTGACTGTAGTGTAAACAAAAGACTGTTATATGTTAAGTATGATCAAGTACTTAGTACCTAGCCAGAGGGATTTATTCAATAACTTACGAGTTGATATTATCTAATTTTATTTTTACAATTTATACCAAAATAGTCAAGGAAGATACAGGTAGCCTTGCCTAGTTTGGGCTATATTGTGCAAAATGGCTGTGCAAAACGCAGTTTATTGAATAAACCCCAAATTTTGTTATTTACTAAACTGTAAATTATTGAGAATTAACAAAAGAAGAGCATATTTTGGAGGCCAAAATAGCTGAATTGGAAAAGTCTTAAGAAAAGGATTTTGGCCAGAAATGTGCAAATCGTTCATCAATCCTCCACAATTTCCAGTTCAGTGAATAATCCTCTAAGTGTTTTTTTTTTTTGCAATCTTGATTCAAATACTACAATACTGCTAACGAACAGCAGCAAACTGGTGCTGTAACTACACAACTGATGTTAAAGAAAAGGCTGTTCCTGCTGTAGGTAGGCTTCATTAAGACTACAGTGCAACAATCCAACATTCTTTAAGAAGCATGTAACAGCTACACATACAAATTCACCAAATGACGTTCTGCATGCTGTCTGATTATGCTACATCCAAGACTCCGGCGGCCACTAGCTGTCTAGAGAGCCAGTCCAGACCATCATATAAGCCCATGCCACTCCTGGCATCACAGCCCTGTATATACCAGCTCCGACCACAGCACAGTTTGTGAAGGCTCAGTAGTTCTGTCATTTCTTCCACAGTAAGGGCACCAGCAACATCCTGGAAAACAAGGTAATTAACATTAATTCACTGACAATATACCTTCTGTGTTAATAAAATTAAAAAGACATTCATCAGGATGTTAGAAATACAACTGTTCATGTCATTGTCTATCTCTAGAAAATAGTTGTACCAAAAAAAAAAAAAAAAAACCACAAAAAACATTCTGCAAATATAATACTTTCCTAGGTGCACGCTGCACAAATTGCTTGCAATTTTCTTGGAATACCTTTGATGATTGATACATTTGTACAGTTTAATCAAATAATACAACTGATCATTTACAATTTGAAGAATCTGAATGGTTAGCTCAGTCTAATTACCCTCAACTCTGAACGTGTTTTTAATAGGTGTACTACATACCTGTTTGTTAGCAAATATTAAAAGCAGTGCATCCCGCAGCTCTTTCTCGGTAAGCAGCTTTGCAAGTTCACTGTGAGCTTCGGTGACTCTGTCTCGATGGCTGCTGTCTATTACAAACACCACAGCTGGAAAGCACCAAGTGTTAGAAGGTGTGAGTATGGTTATGTTGCATGATATATACACACCTTACCTAGCGCACTCTGTGATTGGCTAGTGGTACAGGCTATCCTGTTTGCAAGTGTATAGTGGCATTTACTGTCCCCACCGCACACAACCGATTTCCTGCTCCTGTTTTCTGGTTCTTTACAAGTGATGCAATACAGAGCACATGTGTGGGAGCTGGGAGACATGTGCAGCAGGGAAAGCAAACCCCACACTTTTCCCTGTTCCACATGGTGAAGGAAGAAAGCAAAGCAAAGTAAGCAAAGAGGAGAAGTAAAACAAAACAAAGACAGATTTTCACTCTCAGCGACAGGTTTCGTATACATTTTATAGAAAAAAAAAAAAAAGAGAAAGAAACCACGCCCAAGGGTTATGTACAAAACTTGATACGTACACAGGTCTCTTAGGGTTATATACGCATTAGACCTCAAATAAAACAGAAGAAACAATAATGGTGCAATACAGTATATACAGTAAGTGCGTGATGTGTGATCTTATGTGATTACACTCACATTTAATTGAGCCATCTCAGAGCTCAGCTGTTTCAGCGCATGGACAGAACAATCCTCATCTAAAGACATAACACTTGGGCGCGGTTTCTCTCTCTTTTTTTCTATATTCTATTATCCACAAGGTTTGGGAATCCTTGTACTAGTTACTGCAGCCCAGCTGTACCCTGTATTATACTTTAGTGAGCGCCTATTCCTTTTTCTTTTGATATATATTTATTCACACACAAAAATTTTTTAATAAAGAGTCACACTCACCTTGTGTGTTAAGGTAATAATGTTTCCAGAGAGGTCGCAGCTTGTGTTTCCCTCCAACATCCCAAATTGTAAACTTTAAATTTTTGTATTCCACAGTTTCGACATTAAAGCCTGCAAATAATTAAAGCAAGTTTATTGCAATCTATTTAATTTGTACGCCATGTTTAAATATTCACAGACTACATGTGGCAGATTATTTAGAAATTGTTGAATTTTAGTCAAATGAAAGACACTTGTAAAATTTACCGGCTCAGTCACTGTCTGGAGTTTTTGCCTATTTGCAAAGACCCATAATAGTGACATCATAACTTAGGGTGCAGTGACCTGGTGAAGCTACGGTGAGATACTTACCTGATGCCATCTTCGCAAATGCTGCCATTTTCTTTCTTCAGCTCCCGGTGCTTCATCCACCAAAAGCCGTAGCCACTGCTGTACTTCTTAAATCCCCAAAAAATTCAAATCCCAAGACGCAAGTCCCAATGTAGAAAATCAGTTTTCAATCCACTATGTTTTTGTGAGCAGACAAATTGAGTTTATTTATCCCACAAACCAGTACAAACTGTAGTTATGTGATGTTATTTACTGGAAAGATTATGAAAACTGGTTGAATAATAGATGTATAAAATATGTGATCCCTGAAACCTTTAGGTCTGTCTGAATATACACAACAACAACAAAAAGGTCTAAGCATTAAATATGTAAACACATGTGGTGTCAATTATCTCTTTAGAAATTTGGGCACAATGAGGGTTATTATATTGCTATCAGATTAATGGTTAGATCTGATAATCACAGACTTATCTGTTAAATCAGTAGCAATTTTTCCATAGACTTCAATAGCAACTTTTCCATTAAATTAACTTAAACATTTATCTGCCAACAGAATCCAGTTCTAAAGTAACTATGGTGTTTTCAACTATGTATTGAAACCCCCAAACCCAGCTTTTAGACACAAATACCCTCATCGCATCCAATTGGTCGTCTCCCTCACAAAACAGTAGCTACTCACCAATTGTCGGGATTGGCTGCATGAACTCATCTTGTTTTAACTTAAACAGAATTGTTGTTTTTCCAGCACCATCGAGTCCCAGTGTCACAACTCGAATTTCCATTTTTGGACCAATGTGTACTCTGTTATCCTAAATGACAGGCACATTTTACATTCAATGTAAAACAAAATCGTTTTCAAAATGTATTTCTAGGACAAGAGGAAACCTTGAGTGAAGTTAGAAATTAGATGGATGGACAGAATAAACGATTTTTTTTTTTTTGGGATGGATGGATGATAATGCTTTTAAAAAAAAAGGGTTAAAGGAACACTATAGGGTCAGAAAACAAAAAACAAAAAATGTATTCCTGATCCTATAGTGTTAAAAAACACGATCTAGTCCTGCTGCACCCCCTTGATCTGCTTCTTAGGCTGATATCACTTCTGATGATGTCAGACAATCACAATGCTTTCCCATAAACAAAATTGAATCGGCTGAAATTGTCAATTCTGATGATCTCAGCCAAGGAGGAAGGCTGGGGAGGAGCAATAAGCGGTAGTTGTTCTGGTGACTATAGTGTTCCTTTAAGACAGTAATCCAAGGGAAATTACAAGTTAGAAAGGGACGAGAGGTAAGGTAGAATAAGTGGTGAATTGATCATAGTCAGGCACAGGTGTAAGAATAAATACTTAGAGGTGAAAAGATGGAAAATAACCTGGGCAGGGAAGAATGTTTAAAGCAAAACTTTGAGAAACGAAGTACATGTTTTGATGCAGTAGGAGTTGAAGGTAGCAAAGGTGGACAGGAGCAGACTGAAGAGGTTAGTCGGGATAGAAAAGAGTAAGCAGAAGGAAGAGTGTTAGGAGCTAGCTTCATAAGAGGTCATTTACTAAATGTTTTGCATGAAAACAAAAATCTTGCTTTTTTTTTTTATACATCCATCACAAGCATCACTCTACTTTTGAAAAGAATGGTTAAACCACTTCAAAAGTATAATTTAACGTAGGTGGTGAGGAGTAGACAATTCATAATAATGCTCCATGTTACTAAACTGGCACAAGGTGGTATCATATTACCTTTGTGAATGTGACAGGAATACTGGCATCTAGCTGTATGTGATCTGCCAGTTCAGTAAATTGTTGCTGCTGTTTCTGTAGTGTCTCAAGAAGCCTTGTGATCTCCTGCTTGGCTAGTACCACTCTACAGTCATCCTTTGTAAGAAGACAGAAGTAACTGGCATTGAGTCAATACATTTTTAATACTCCAAAGGGGAAAAAGTCCACTTTTCTATTTATCAAGTTACCATACTCAGAAGAAACAGACTTCTATAACTTAGAGGTGAATTAAAGGGGCAAAACCAAAAAAATACATTAAAAAAAAAAAAAAGCTGATTTACTACCCATTTTAGAATGAAAAATAAATAATACATTAAATTGCATTTATTGTTAAAGACAATAAAATGAAAACACTTTGATATTCTTTTATATTTTCACAGTGATCTCACTAGCCTTCTCTGATTTCACTTAAATGAGGAACTGGCTAATATCGCTCAGATCAAACTTGCCTCACATAACTTTCCATGGAAGAATTGTCAAGAATGCATGACATCCAAATACAGGACAGTATTTCCATAATGTTTTTATAGTAAAAAATAAAATACAAATATCATTAGCAATTAGATCTACATATGTTTGTTCATTATAGACAAGGGCTATATTTAACCACCGGCCTACAGTGATTTTGGCATTTGTGCAATATGTTAAATTAATAAGAGTTGTATACTAAACTCCAATAAAATGTGGCTATTAATGTATTTGGAGGTGGAGTCAAAACTGGTACTTCATACCTGCTGCAAAGCCTTCTCACAATGAAGGCAGGCGGTGGACACTTCTGATAGGAGAATGGTCATGTTTTCTTGCTGTTGCCGCAGCCAGATTAGTTGCTCACGTACATGAGCATCAACCACGCTAAGAGCCATTTCCTCTTGACGGCAAAGAGTTTCGTGGAGATCAGAGAAATATGCTCGGACACATGAACGTGCATTTTCTGCAGTGCCAGGAACCTAGTGAATTGGTTAGAAATTGCAGAGTTTACCAAACATGCTTTAGAAAGGTCTAAACTACAATCATGGATTAAAAGTGCGTGGTTAAAATGCTGGACACAACAGGATACAAAGTTGATCTCATCAGAGCTCACATATTAATGATATTCAGATTTCTAAAACAGTTACAACACTATTGAAACATTGGAATATATAGTATATAATCCACTTCAATTGACAGGAAACCCATCCTAAACACAGCATACATGTGAAGCTTGCACAGTATAAGCACAAGTAAAATGTGCATATTTAGAGAAGCCATTTTATTTTCTGTCTTAATGTTAAATAGAATTACATTAAATAGACATTAAAGGGAAACTCCAGTGCCAGGAAAACAAACCGTTTTCCTGGCACTGGAGGTCCCCTCTCCCTCCCACCACCCATCCCCCGGTAACTAACGGGGTGAAAACGCTGCCGCTCCTCCCAGTGATTACGTCAGCCGGTGGGCGAGACTGATCCCGCCATCTGAGGAAACCTAATGTGCATGCGCGGCATTGCATTAGAGCTCTCCATAGGAAAGCATTAAAAAAAAGCTTTCCTATGGGGAATTGAGCGACACTGGAGGTTCTCACACAACGTGAGGACGTCCAGCAACGCTCTAGCACAGGTTTCCTGTGCTATGGACATGGAAGTGCCCTCTAGTGGCTGTCTAGTAGAGCCACTAGAGGTGGAGATAACCCTGCAAGGTAATTATTTCAGTTTATAAAAAAAAAAAAAATGCAATAATTACACTTGCAGGGTTAAGAGTAGTGGAGAATGTAAAAAGTAGTAGTAATGGAAAGAAGTGGACTGGGTGCCTACAGTGTCCCTTTAAGTATCCCGCTTCCCACAAGTTCCTTCTCACAAGTCCAAAAAGAAATATAAACTGAGCATCTCAGTATATGTGTAAAGTAGGAAGACCATTTGATCCATAAGAACTATATGCAAAATTAGGTTAGGATCCAAGCTGTGGTTTTCTTTTTGTAACAGCGAGTTAAGTAGCAACTGATTACCTGTATTATTCATCTCACATGGATGTTTTTAAATAATCTTGCAAGTGCTCACCTATGTCAATGTGTGCTATGTAGAACAATTTCAAAGGGAGTAGATGAGCTTTCAACGTCACTGGCAACGCATTGCTTATTCGACTGTCAGAGACACTTATTATATATGAAAGAAAAATTGCTACTCTTTAGGGGTTGATTGTAAAAGTAGAGATTTTCCCAATATGGGGTTTATTATAAGCTGTCCTACAGACACAGAAAAAACTTTTCCCCCGCTTTTACAACTAAACATACTAACCTCACATCTTGTGGGTTCCATTGACTATCCTTCAGAATGCAATGTAACATTCTTACTCATTACACCACTTTAAATACTTAAAAGGAAACTATAGTGCTAGGAAAACAAAGCTGTTTATCAAAAACTGCAATTATTACAATTGCAGGGTTAATGGGCCTGGGACACTACACCCAGACCACTTCAATGAGCTGAAGTGGTTTGGATTCCTATAGTGTCCCTTTAACATTTCCTGCTTTAGCCAAAAAGAAATGGTAACATACTATAACAATATTTTTAAGAACAAAATTATATGTCAAGGATGAGTCTTTTCCCTACGGACTTTTAGTGGATTCCCGGGTTCGAGCATATGTACATAGATCCCATTCTTAGAATCAGAGATACGATTTGGCACACAAGCAAGTAATGATTTATATCCACTCCTTACGTGTTCTGTGTGAGCCATTCCTATACCATCTTCCACAATCTGTTCTCCTCCTTCAATCTGTTGGACAATGCCTGTGAGCTTCCTAGAATACTCAGAGATTTCCTCTGTAAAAC